TGAGACAGCAAAGGACGAAGAAAAGGAACATGTAAAGGATTGATAGAAATGAAAGCAAGCAAAGTGAAAGTAAAAGCGAGAACTCTCGTGTACAGAAAAGAGAAAGCGTGAGCTCACAAGCACTGAAAGGGAGAGAAAGTAGAAGTGAACACTTTCACCGCGAGAGGAAAGAGCACACTGTGGTGAAGTTAAAGGCCTGCAGCCTTATGTAGGGGACCAGATCCAATGGGATAGTTTAGGGAAAGGAAGAGCAGATAGGAATCTCGGAGAGAGAGAGAGAGAGATCGCTTCAGGAGGGTGGTCACTGGAAGAAGATGTAAACTGGATTTGGTTTCGGAGTAATAATCTGCAAAGTTCTGATTTTTTTTATTAAAGTACAGTAAGACAACCATTAGATTAATAAGTAAAATATAATGAAAAATAACAGAACGCAAGTAAATACGTTATAAAGGAACGGGTTAAACGCTGCCAGGGACAATAATAAGTGAGAGGGAAAAAAAGAAAGAAGATACAGGAAAGGGAAGGGAATACACGTTGTCAGGGACAAGGAAAGGTAGTAGGAGAAACTGGGCGATAAGAAGAAGCTATGGCAAGAGGATCTCACTCGTGGGAAGTGAAGGTTCGGAAGGAGACGTCGGAGAGGCCACAGGAAGACTGGTGACGAAGGTGTACTACCGAAGGAAGTGTTCGGGAAGGAGGGGGTGGGGGGGTAGAAACGTGTTGGTGAGGAAGGAGTAGAAGGAGGAAGAAGAGAAGGGGAAGGGCAGCAACTTGTTGGGAGAGGAGGAGGATGGCAGAAACGTGTTGGAAGAGAAGGAGAAGGGCGGAAATGTGTTGATGGAAGAGGAGTTCTAAAATGTATCGGAGGAGAAAGCGGTGGAAGAAAATGTTCATGGAGATGGAGGGAGGTGGTAACTTACTGGAGGAGAAGGCGCGCAGGGGGGGCGTTAAGAAAAACAGTCGAGAAATGAATACGTTTTCTGGGTCACCAAATGACTCAGTTCAGGGAGAGGAATGACCGTGAAAACACGCTGGGGAACGAAACAAAAGATAATGTCAATGAGCTGGTAACATACTGTCTTAAAGGTATGTCTTCCCTGTATAGAAAACTAGATATTGACAGTGATTTATGGTGATTTAAGGCGTCGCTATAGAGTGACATCACAAACCCTCCCAATTGTCAGGGGCCACAACTGACGGGAAATAGCTGAAGCAAATGCTGATTATTTTATTAAATCTAAATACCAGCGCTATGCAGTTATGTGTATTATTTTTATCTGTGAAATACACTGCTCAAGATCAGAAGTCGTGCAGTAGTTATATATGAGAAAGTACAGGCGGAAAACTATAGATCTCGGACATAGTTTTAATAAAATGTTGGTGAAACAGTTTATACCAAACACCTCCCTCCGTAAGTCGTTCTTAGGCTATTGAAGGAAGACTACATACGTCATTACTCAAATGTCTAAATGGAAGCGGACAAAACCTCCGCCTAAAATGGAGACTTTTTCATACTCAACTTAGGAAAAAAATGGACTGGACTCGTTCTTTCTCAAACGTTTTGAAATAACAAATGACAAAACAGCGAGAAGCTATTTTGCTATTTCATCTCCACATCTTCTGAGTCAGCAATTTTGATTGATATATTTGTTTCTGGTGAACTATAACACATTTAACAGTGAAAATGATACAGTATTAAGAGAATATCCTGATGACATCTCAAGTGATTCGCTCGCGACTCTCCTGATTCACGAAGGACCTTCAGGCACTATTTTCTTGCCTCACTGTTGCCACTTTAACGAAAAACCTTCAGATTATGAGGGGAACAAATGGCCACATTGGAATTCCGCCGTTAATGTGGGGAGGATGTAACGAGGAGTAAGCGTCTCCCCCGCAGGACAATAACCACACTCGTTGAGGTAAAAGCCACGGCGGGTGTCAGGAGGCTCCTTGGTGCTCCAGCTGATTACATTCAGGGATTTATAGAGAAGTGGAGCAGAAACAACAGCCAATGTTCCCTCGTGAAGGCTCCTGTCCTGGCTTTCTGCAGGCTTCTCGGCCAGTCGTTAAGCAACAGTTTGGCTGAGCAACACACCCACAAGCCAGAAGCTCAGCAATCCATGAATAATCGCCAGAGTTAAGTGAAAGGCAAGTGATCATGCTTTTGATGATGTTCCCATCAGCGTTACATGATGGCAGGGAGGAGAATAGCTCGCCGCTATTGGCTGTCCGCTGTGGCCCAAATGGTATGACCTTTACATCAAGCGCTTCTGTCTGGGCGAGGTGGAGGAGGCTCAGCCAGACAGAGAATAATGTGAGTGCCTGGCTCATCTTCCCCAGGAAATTGACAAGTATGTGGCATATTATTTTGGAACGTGTCTCAGCTGACGACCACAAGCCCCACATTATGGTGAGCTGGGAGCTGCCATGAAACACAGTATGCGTTAGTGTGTTGCCTCGCCTGGCACGCCTCATGCTCATAATTCCCGAGCGTCTTGTCTCACCTGATGGTGATGAAACAATTAATAATCCCACAGCTCAGGGCAACAACCTTGATGGAATTTTAATATCTTTGTCGTTTATTTTTATTTTTTATTTTTTAATCCCAGTTTCAGTAAGAACATCAGACCAGCTGCCACACTGGGTGTGATATCAATATTATTTTTATATTTTTTCAAGGAATAAGAAGTACAACTAGTAACGAGAGAATTGTATATTTATATCACTGTCTTCCTTACGTTGAGTTATGTATAACCAAATACTTTTTACAAACTACGTTTTATATTCACATGTGAAGGTCAACACTCAATTATTGCCGAAGTGTTGTTAATTAGATGAAGGTTAAGCGATCGGTCAGGGCCCCTCGTTTGCATTTTTAATTTATGAAATATTAACAATGTTGCATCACGAAAGTGAAGCTTTTACTCTACTGATTTAGTGATACGAGTTTTTTTATTAAAACGGTACATTTATTTTGTTTTCACACACACACACACACACACACACACACACACACACACACACACAGTAAGCCCAGGTAGTCGTGATTCAGGTCTTTTACATTTAATTGCACGTGATTCTTGTTGTTTCATTAAAGACTATTAATTGTTATGGTCGTCATAACTCTTATTTTTCTGGCAACAAATCTTTGTTCAAACAACTTGTAAACAAAAACACGGTAAATGTTTGTTTGCTCTGAGAATATATAAACAAACCTCGCTTTCTCATATTTCCTTGCCTAGACAATTATAAAGTTGTTGTAACTAATTTTAACTAAACGTCATTTTCCGAAATTATACATCCCAAAATAAAATGTTCTAAAAAAAAAATTATATATATATATATATATATATATATATATATATATATATATATATATATATATATATATATATATATATATATATATATATATATATATATATATAAACTCAGTGCCTAGTTTTTATACATATGAGATTTTTACATTCATCTAGTTAGGAAGTCAGTTATTGATTTTAGATAGACACGTTTATCTTGGTCATCTCCATCAGGAATGATTTTGATTAATTTTATATTCTTGCCGTCAACCCTGGGTCACTACGGCAGATCCTCAGCATGGACGTCATTCGTTTATTGTTATAGTGTTACTGGTTTGGCCACAATGGCCAGTACCTCCTTCCTAACGTATACAGTATACTACTGTCAGATTACTATTGCCGATTAAAGACTTTTTCTCTATATTTTTCATTCCTCTGTTAAGATATTGATAGAGGCGTCTTCCTATTACCCCACAACATATATATATATATATATATATATATATATATATATATATATATATATATATATATATATATATATATATATATATATATATATATATATATATAAAAGGCATCAAACATCATAGTCATGAATAAACACGAAACAAAAACGACGCCATCAAGTGAGTTAGTATTGATATTGACAAGCGTAAAATATGCCTGAAATAGTCCTTGTAGGAATTTCATTAAAACAATTATTTAATGTTAGAAATTTTACCTCATATTCAAAAGCAGAGGTAAACACTACCTTAACCTTAAAGTAAACATAAAGACTTTGATACTGATAGTGAAGAATAATTATACACTCGTGAAACCAAGGTGTGTGTGTGTGTTTTTTTTTTTGGGGGTTGGTAGGTGTATGTGAAGTGGAATGTGTTTTCTTTTACATGTGTCTGTTTTTGCACATTATATACTGCATATCCGAAATAACAGCACTTTGCCCCTTGTAACATTAAGAACCCACACTTCTCAGACCGGTAAAAGAGGGCTATTGGAAGCCGATTTTATCACAAGGCACAAGGAAGTGGTCCAGGACTCTGCCACAGGGTACAGGAGGAAGGTTTTACCAGGTGACTCGTCATCACTAGAACACGTATACCTGGGAAACTCTCTGGGGGAATATTACAACAAGAGTTCTCTCGAGTAACGAGATGTGGCAGAGCCCCTACATGGGCCTCCTGGTGTGTAGTGGGAGACAACATCGTATCATACAAATAGAAACAGAAAATATGTGTAAAAGGACAAAGGGAGTAACCGAATTCAAAAACTTCAAACACAAAGTTAGTGAGAATAACTTCTCTCATTCCAGTGAGACAAACTTTTGGATAAATTAAGTTTGAGTTTTGGAAAAACGAACCATCCTTTTGCCTCGACATCCAGTGGCTAACTGACTTGTACCGTCGTCTCAGGCAGCCGAGCAAGAGACGGGAAGCACGTGGAATTAATAAAACCCCACAGACTAAGACCATGACTCCTGGGGCTGATTTTATTGTAAAACTTAGTGTCACTGTTTAATGTTCGGCTGCAATTGTGTCATTCTCAATATAATGTTGTCAGAGTTTCCAGATCATTAAATTTAGAAGTGAATGAATAATCTTAGGTATTAGTTAAGATAGAAAAAAATATTTTAATGATGAATTACTAAGTACAAAAATAAACCATATTCATAAAACCAGTTAGTAAATGATTTAATAATAGTAAAAGAGTGAATTATATTTGGTATAGTTTACAATACATATCCTGTAAATACCATACATAAGCAAACTGTTCATATACATAAAATATGAATGTCATTTAACCCTTCGTGTCTTTTTCATCAATATCTTCTTGCAGTAATTCGTTGGACACAAGTCATTATCATCTTGACTGAAACATTTTCTTCTCCGTCAATTCTGCTTCTTCCTTCCTTTCTCAGTTGCTTTCAGCGAGACTTCTTTCTTTCCATAAGGTTCTTCCCACAGCTCTTTCCTCTCTCATTCGCTGCCCGGCCTGACTAGAGACAAGTACATTAAATATAAATAAATCCCAACCAACGAAAAGCAGAAATTCAGTTTCAAGGGGAAGTATGAGGTGAGCGAGGCAGAAGTGACTATGGTAGCGGCTATTGTAAGTATTCGCTATATGGGACAAACTACCTGACCAGTCTACCCTCCAGTCATACGGTGGTTGGTCACCAAAATGATCGATAGGACTATAATTTTCATCGAATGACTGAGTTTATAAAAAAAGGGTAGAACATGTGGTAAATTTCAATCAAGATCTTATAAAGTCTAAATTAGGTCACGTAGGGATAATGGAAGATATTTGGTACATTTAAAGATTAATAGTGTGGAGTAGCAACAACACAGTACAGGGGAGGTTTTTTGTCTACAGAAACACCTGAATCACACAAATCGGTAAAAACAAAAACAAAATTAAACACCTTATAAATTCTGGAAGTATAGTTATCAATAAAAAACAAATTTACTCGCCTTCCACACGTCTCATATTTCACTACGTAATGAACTACTCAGCATCGGAGGAACACGCGATATATAGCTACTACCTTAAGAACTCACCCTTACTTACGGTGCGTGACACGTGGCTGCCACTCTGAACAATTGAGAGAAAGGAGACGATCATTAGTGATTGTCAAATGTGCATTTTCACGTGCAATTATTTTAGGTTTGTAAGAGATAATGATTTCCAAATTGTAGTATAGAAGGGAAGAGGAATAGGAGATAGGAGGAAGATGGAAAAAAAGTAAAAAAAAAAGAATTTAAAAACAATCATAGTTTTTATTAGAGGCGGGTATTTTATAAATAACCCACCATTGACAACATTTCACTCAACTAAAATTGTTTCAACGAAAATTAAAATTATACTTGTAAAATGTCAGACAATGTATCTGCGAGCAAGTGATTATTTAAAAATATTTGCAAATGGTGAAGCCTCGACAACTTTAACGTTCTCAAGTCATATTTGATCTACCAACTACCCTGCATATGTAAATAAACTGTGACAAAATGGAAGATAGTTTCAGCCCGCCAGGAGTCTCTGTGGCCAAGATCATTGTTACCACAAACACAGATGTACAGGATAACCATCATGACTGTGTTCTTCATTGCCTCTATTTAACAACATTTTCCCTTCGATTAAAATGTACATTACGTGCCAATATAACTATTCACTAACACCATGACTGTGTTCTCTATCATCCACATAAGGGTTCAGTAACACCACTACGCACATATGTAAAACATGACTGGACGTAAACATGACCAACCCCCTGAGAGACACAACCTGACGAAAATGTACTGCGAGCAATCTTGGCCATGATTCGAATTCTCTTCGGTTTTCCACTTAACCGGGATGAAAGAACATATCGAGTCATATACTATAGAAACTTAGCGCTATTTTGTTTGTCAGTTCAGAAGCGTTCTCACATCTCAAGTGGAGTAAAACTTCAGCGAGCTCTCCACTGAAGATCCTGGCCCAAGTATCAGAAGTGGAGAAAACCCTAGATATGATTCCGTGTGGCCCTCTGTATGGGATTGTGGGAGCAGCAGGTGACCAGTCATAGACAACAACCTGACATACACTGCACTGGGAGGAGCCGCGTGCTGGGCGTGGCTACTCACCCTTCTACCGTAGATAGGGTCCAGCCAGACCCGTTACCACCGACGCATCACTTCAATAAGCTCGTAATCCTTACTTAGTCTTTCAATAACGATATATTTTTCTTTCTAGAACCTCTACTTGTTTTTGCTGTTCAACACCATGTGATTCATTTTTGGGTGTGCATTGGAGAAATGAGTTAACCGGGACGTTATATACTAGACTGAGGAAGCCCTTGTATGTTAGCAGACGTCCTTGAAGAGCTCTGAACCATTGGATCTTCAAGCTACGGACGATAGTAACAAAGGTAGCAACCAATCAGAGACTTGATTATCACGTGATAAGAAAGTGACAGTGTGGTATATAAACCACCGCTGGACCGCAGCACAGCACAACCATCCGGTCCGCAGAAGCCACTCGTGCAGGTTGGAGTTCTGGGACCAACTAAACTAACTGACTATGAAGATTCTGGTAAGTGCACTTCTGTTTTAGGTCATCCTGTGATCCAAAATCTTTCTTCCTTCTGTATAAGACATAAGAGTTTTATGCTCCATGGAATAAACATAATTTGCATGGAAAAATATCACACAGTACGTGTAGACAATACTGTCACTAATCTGTTGCTCTTTACAGGCAGCTATCTGTGTGCTCGCCGTCGGCGTCAGCGCACAGGTTGGGCATTCAGGGATCGTTAGACCCGATGGTGTCAACACTCAGTTCTCTCATGCCTTCGCTGATGATATCGCATTGGTAGGACCTTCTGGTATTGTTACCAAGTCTGGTCAAAACGTACAACTCACCTCCGACCTCCACTTTGTTCCCCGTGCCAAGCGCAGTGCTGGTATGGTGTCTGCCAAGGGCAACATTGGTCACTCTGGCATCCTACGTGCTGATGGTACCACCGACCTTTTCAGCCACGACCTTGCTCATGACATTCTCCTCATCGGGCCCTCTGGTGTGGTCACAAAGTCTGGCCGCAACCTTCAGCTCACTGACGACTTGAGGATCGTGAACCCACGCTTCAGGCGCAGTGCTGGTATGGTGTCTGCCAAGGGTAATATTGGTCACTCTGGCATCCTACGTGCTGATGGTACCACCGACCTTTTCAGCCACGACCTTGCTCATGACATCCTTCTCATCGGACCCTCTGGTGTGGTCACCAAGTCTGGCCGTAACCTCCAGCTCACTGACGACTTGAGGATTGTGAACCCACGCACCAAGCGTTCAGTTCCTTTAGTTGGACCCTCTGGTATGATCACCGCTGAAGGCATCCCCATCCAGTTCTCCAAGCCAGGCACCACCATCCTGCTTGACGGACCCTCCGGCTACGTCATGAGCGACGGCACCCTCGTCCAGAAGCGCAGCAAGCGTCATCTAGTCGGTGAGTCTGGTATCATCACCTCTGATGGTCAACAGATCCAGTTGGAGCACGGAGTGAAAGTGGTCCTTGCTGGTCCCTCCGGTATCCTCCTCTCCAACGGCAAGAACATCCAGTTGTAATGAGTTGCCTGACGTCTTAAAGCGACTCTCTAGTCTTGAGATCTTCTTAATTTGTGAAACAAACACCAGGTTGGTCATTAAACATGCACGCTCGGTCATGTATAAACTGCAGCAGCATGAAAATTTAAGACCTTTGTGAATATTGTCACCAAGATATTTTATTCTATAGTTTTACCAATTCAAAATTTTGCCAAAAGTTTTACAGTGAAGAATTTTGTTGAGAAGAACACTGTGAAATAAAACCTTAACCATACAATCCTTGACTCTAATTCATTACATCTCCCGGAGGTTAAACTTTCTACCTTGTTGTGGAAGACAATGACAAACACATCACGTTCTCTTTCCAGAGATACAAATGGTGTTCATTTGTATCTGCACTTAGGGCATCGAAAACATAACTAATTGCCACCACCATTAGAAACATCATCACCAATACTATCACCATCATCATAACAATCATCACTCGTTATCATCACCTTGATCACCATAATCACCGTCATCATTATCATCCCATCACCACAATTATCACCGTCCAATGACATTTACAAGATATCTAATTCGGTCCCCCACAGAGGAAACGAAAAAAAAGAGAAACTGAATAATAATGATCATACAGTAAGAAATACCATCAAAACATCATTACATTATACTTGTATAGACTACAACACTCCTTCTTGGTGCCCTGAAAAAAGGCTGTCATCTCTTAAATATCTACCCAACAAAAATACTTGAGGTCTCTATTTATGAGAAATTTCGTAAATGCGCGCAGAGGACGATGCGTGTAATTCCTTAATGAGTGAAATGAATATGTCAGCTTCAGGTGAACTCGGGAACATGACGCAGGACATACACCGTGAAGGATTTCAAAGGTCGCTCATAGTACAGCTTTGAACCTGTCAAGGTGCGATCAAGCTATCGTAACCAAGAATCTATTGTGGTCATAAACTCATCAAAGCAAACGTAATGGTATGAATATTTTCAGGACAATGTGTTGACAGCAACCTTGTCAACAAATATACAACACTTAAGTCAACCACATAATTTTCACCAGATATCAATCATGCATATAAAATTCATCTTAAAAATTATCTTCCAAAATGGTTCCACACACACACACACACACACACACACACACACACACTCTCGCTCTCTCGTCATTCTCATTATTTCTTTCATCGTCACTTCTGTAATAGACGCATCGTGTCACTGTACTTACTTGCATTCCCACAACAAGGCGCCAAATATCTATCTGCTGTGCCCTCTGTCGCCTTGCACAACACCCAACATTTCGCTCTTCCATTTTTTTTAAATACTGGGACTAGCTAATGACACCGGACATATCCTGCGCGTATTTCCGCGATAGTTTAAATGAGAGTTGTTTGTCAGCTGGTGTAATAAATGATGTATGTACGTGACGCGTCGGAGGCAAGCTGGATTTGGAAAGACCTAAAAGTATCACTTAAAGGAAAATCGTTGAAGTGTGAATGTTGGGATACCTTAGAGAGAGAGAGAGAGAGAGAGAGAGAGAGAGAGAGAGAGAGAGAGAGAGAGAGAGAGAGAGAGAGAGAGAGAGAAGCATTATTAATGAACAGTACCTTGGATCATGTCACGTGTCGAGGATTCTGTACTTGCAACAATTAAACATTTCATCACGAACTGAAACTTTCACCACAAATATCGTTGTACTGAGCGATATATATCCCGGCCTATGTAATTTATGCAACATAATGGAAATTAAATTCATGGGAAATGCGACATTTTAACGCACTTTTTATTAAAAAATTTTCAACATTTCCGAAATATATTCATATTTTTCCTCTATCAACTTTCATCATACATGTAATTATTCGATGCTCTCTCAATATCGGTGATGATAACACGAGTAAACACAGTAATGTATACCATATGATGCAAATTCATCACCGAGTCTGCTTTATGTTATGACAAAGGCAGTGTTGGGCGGCAATAAGCTGAATGCTTATATTGTATCCTTTTTTAGCGTGTGCGTGCGTTTGTGTCCAACACATTCAGGCGGAATTAAAAGTAAATAAATAAAAATAAAAAAATCGTCCAAAAATGTTGGTCCTGAAATGCATGTGTCACAAATGCCACATGGGCAGGTTAAACTGTCAGCTGAATGGTGTGGTGTGTTAATATACAAGTACTTTGTGAAGTATCTCTGTGTATAGAGTTGATAATTTATAGCACCATCGAGTATAGGAGTCATAAACACACAAACACACAGGTGGATTTGGAAAATTTTATATTACGAGTAGAATAACAACGCTATCACCATCAAATATAATAATAATCCTATGAATATAATACCAATGATGATGATACTAATATAAATAACAATAATGAAACTCATACCGTAAGAATAACCACAATGATGATAATCCTGTGAATAATAGTAATGGTAATAATATGAATACTTATAATGGCAATAATACTCTAAATAACAACTATGATAACAATGATAACTAATCCTCACAGTGACCCTTACAATGATCACGGTGGAATTTATACAAACTTATGTAAAACTAACCACACACACACACACACACACACACACATACACACACACACACACACACACACACACACACACACACACACACACACACACACACACAGCGCTGTGTTTGATGTGTTGTTGTATCCCTGATGATTTACGGTAACGGCCCACCAAAAAATTGACACCAATAAATTATGTCTTTCACATTTTAAGGAACGAACCAGACAGTTAAGAGTCACACCGCGCCCTCTAGCACGATGTTGTTAGCAAAATAAAACTTAGATGAAGCCTCTAATTCCCAACCATTTATAAGACATCAAAGTATATAAAAAATAATAAGTCTCATGGATTACTTTTTTTCCAGGTGTGATAGGACACTTACCTACTCGAGTGAGACACATTTACTGGTTGATCCGAGGTGTCACTCTCAGATGTCTGGCGTTATATATCTCAGTATATTCACCTCCAGTTCTGTCGTCTTCTTCAGCTTCCTTCTGCTTTATCTTGTTCCTTCTTCTCCCTGCTGGGATTGGTTCGCCTCGTCTCTCATCTCCAAACTTTTCAATCAGTAATCAAACTCGGGTTAATCTACCTTCTATCCTCTCCAGAGCAGTTCATCCTCCTCTTCCTCCTTCCTCTTTATCTTTATGCCTTCCTCGTCATATATTTCATCTTTTTACTCTTGGATATCTTAACTCTAATGCCTCGAGCCCATGATGAATTATATTTTTTTTTTCTAATGAACTCAAGTGGTTGTAGAAACTTGCCTTCTGATTATATATACTGTATTAGTTTACTCTTATAGCGGGAGATTATTTAAGATATCTGGCTTGTTTAATATCCGGTGCTCCCAAGTGTGGCGGTGTACTACTGTTATCTTTTAAACCCTCGTGACCAGTAATCTCTTGTAATCCGTGAACCCCTGTGACCCGTGACCCAATGTAACCCGCGCCCCCTGTAACTCGCGACCCCATTTAACCAGTACCCTCGTGACCCGGGACCAGCTGTGACCGTGACCCCTATAACCCATGACCAGTTATGACCCGTGACCCCCTGAGACCCGTAACCCCCTGTGACCCGTGACTAGATGTGACCCGTGACCAGCTGTGACCCGTGACCTCCGTGACCAGTTTTGACTCTTGACCCCCTGTGACCCCTTGTGATCCGTGACCTTGTGACCCACTTGTAACTGATGACCCCATGTGACCCGTGACCACCTGTGATCTCTATAAAAACTGCTCTTGAAATGTACAATTCAAATAATGTTGACGAGTGACATCATAAGAGATTTGCTGACTGGTGGTATTAATTAAATTCCTGAAATTCTAAGTCTTGACACAAAATTTTCCCTAAAAAAGAGAAGAAAAAAATTTGTCTTTGTGATCCCTTTTGTCTAACTCTCCAACCATACAATGTAGCAGACAGAAATGATGACCCCAAAATCCCTTAAAATTGACCCATTGACTGAATGTTCACGTTGGTTTCTACCTTAAGAAAATTAATAAACATAACGAGAGTAAAAAAACAAGGTGTAGTTTCTCCTCCTGAGTAACCACGTAACACTGCTTATTGGCAAGTGATGGGACCTTAATATTATCTTTATGTGATCAAGTGAACTTATCCTTCAGTTTGGTGAAATCGACGATCGTGCTATTATACGTAATTAGAGAAGAGTTAATCACACCCTGTGGTTGAGCTGGGATACAAATGATACGGGTAGTAGCCATACTGGTAGCCGTCTTTAAATCCTATGTAAGAGAGAATAAGGAAAATGTTTTACGTAAGAGTTGTTCTCTGCAAATGTTCCTTTGTTGTATAGAATTAAGAAAAAAATAACAGTGAAATGTACGTGTCTGATATAGTCATGTGTGTGTGTGTGTGTGTAAAGAGAGACGGGGGGAGAGAGAGAGAGAGAGAGAGAGAGAGAGAGAGAGAGAGAGAGAGAGAGAGAGAGAGAGAGAGAGAGAGAGAGAGAGAGAGAGAGAGAGAGAGAGAGAGAGAGAGAGAGAGAGAGAGAGAGAGAGAGAGAGAGAGATAATCGATCTAGTCCCTAAGCTGATCAACTTGGGTGTTTCCTATTAACACTAAAACATTAGAGACGGAACCATCCCAGCAAAGCCATTTGAGCAACACTCTCATGTTAGAGAGGTGCCAGTACTGTACGTAAGGTTCGAACTTAGGTAGGTTGGGTTAGATTAGACTAGGTTAGTTTGAAATAGGTTAGGGTACTAGGGTAGCCTTGCTTACATAAGATAGCCTTGGTTAAGTTAGACTTCGGTAAAGTTGAATTAGTTTTTAGGTAGGTTAGGTTATTTTGGAAATGGCTAGGTTAGGTTAGGTTAGATTAGGTTCACGTTGATAAGGTTAAGTTAGATTCGAGGTTAGGTGCGTATTTGTTCTACAATCATCATTACAGTCACATTCAGATTATCATGAAGTTCAGATTAATTTCAGATTTTAAGAGACTTACTCGTATTATTATCAGATTTAAATACCATGAGAGTCATGTCCTATTAGACTCAGGTGATTAAGTTCAATTAGCACTAACTTTTATATAACAGCAAGATTTGTCCCATAACCCATCCTCAGAGACCTTCAGAGATTGGTAAGAGGACCACATTTTGTATCCTGAAGGAGGTCCAATTTAGGTCCTTAATAGCCCTGATGAGGGGGTTATCCGACACCCATATTTCGCCTGAGACCGTTTCCCATCCAATTAAGGACGATTTAGGGTAAAA